AAAGGAAGAATTAAGCCATACAGGGGTCTTCAGATAATACTGTTTGACAGATGTCCCTTATGGCTTCTCCTCCAGGATTCTTCACAGTTTTATAAGATCTATCACTGCCAAGGCAGAAGTATCTTCTTGAAGTTTATAATTTGTATTCCTTCTACATTATTCTGAAATCATTAGGGTCTGGTGTTTGCTGCTTCTGGCTTGGCAGTAGTGGTAGGATAAGTGGGCTGGAGAGTAGCTCCAGTAGATTTTCTCTGGAACAATGGAGTTTAGGTGAATTGTGAGTGCACATGATTTCTGGAGAGCAGAACAACACATTACTTGGTTCTAAATTCACTGTAACCACTGTGGCTCAATGAAAGCCATTCTTCAAATGTGCAAGGGAAAAGCCCCCAAATACTAGAATGCATAGATGATGGGTTACACCATACGAGAATATAAGATAAGTGCTGCTTTGCCACTTGGTATCAGTGAGAGGCTCTAGCGTGAAATACTCTGGTTTTTGGTTGGGAGAAAGAAGTGAAACAACATTAGAATAATGGAAAAGCTTTTGAGGATAATCTGAAAAAATTAGTGCTACAATAAGTGTACAAAATAACAAATAATAAACAGAAGATAAATCAGGTGTTCTTTTTTACCCATTGCTGCAATACAAGAACAAGGGCATTTGAGATAAATCGAAGGTGGCAGGTTTAAAACTGATGAAGGGAAATTAAAAATACAATGCATAACTAACCAGTGAAAAACCCATTGTGCTATAGATTTTGGGGCCAAAAAATTGTTTTTAAATGATTGGACATTACTCTGAATTAGAATTTATTTTTAAGACGGGTTCTGAAGACTCATTCTTTGAGACATTAACTTGAGGAAGAAACTTCATTGTCTTGTATGAGAATTCTGTGCCATGCTCTGAAGCTTCTGATATTGGTTGTGTTTTGGAATAGAGGATACTGGACTAGGAGAGCTACTAAGATAAATGCTAGTCCCAGAGTGAAGGGGAGCAGAGCCTTTGGTCTTCATATGAATTCCCTCTTAATTGGGACAGGTGCATTAGGCATAAACCAAGCTAGAAACCTTGGGGGCAAGACTGTCCAATAACAGGTGGCTTTGTTGTAGGAGTATTTTAAAATGTCTGAAGCAGTTGTAAGTTTTATGCACCAGTGTCTCATTTCCACCTAGGTTAGAACCTTAAGTACAATATAAATCATTTATAATTAAGATAGGCATTTATGTTAGCAAGTTTGAAAATAATTAGCCTCTCTTTAGACACTAGGAAACATAAGATTTTTAAAGAAATCCTCACTCTCCTCTCATATCCCTCTGGCATCTCAACTCTGCCTAAATTAATTTGATTTAAACATTTCCTTGATTGTCTGGTTTCATATGAGTAATTTTTTAACTGAAGTCTGAGTCCCTGATACGTGCAAGTGCCCAGGAGAATTTATTCTGCCTAAGCTGTATCATGTCTCCCTGTGATGGCAGAGAACTTCACTAAATAAAGCTTAAATTGGACAAACACTGACAGTATTTTACTGCTCCACAGAGTGACAGAGAAGTTTGAGAATCATAATCTAAGCAGGGTTCCATGGTTAATGTTCTTATCCGTCATGCTTTTTTTTTCCAAACAAAATCCTATCAGTTAAATAGAAAAGAGGTAAATGCCAAGCTGCAGTACCAAACTAGCTATCTAATTTTGTTAGGAAAAACTGAACATTTTGACCAGCTGAGTAATGACTCGGTGCTTTTAGACTGTGGTGTTGAAAGAATGCAGCTAGCAACTGGTCCCTCAGTTGCATGGAAGGATACCTTGTTGTTCTGCAGTCACTGTTAGGGGAAGGAAGAGTCAGATTTTTGTCCTGCGTGTGGCAAAGCTTGGACTTCGCCTGTTCCCTGGTGATACAGAATTTCCACAGCTAGTAATTGTCAAACAAGAACGCTCTAATCCTAAACTGTAAGTATATCATTGCCTGTAGCATTCCCGTTGAGCTCAGCTGCCAAGGTGAGTTGGAGGGAATGAATCTGCCACTCTCTGAAATAATTTAGAGGGGTAGCCAAGTTAGTCTGTAACTGGAAAAACTTAAACAACAAATAATCTAGCAGCACCTTAAAGACTAACAAAACATGTAGATGTATCATGAGCTTTCATAGGCACCTCCCACTTCTAGCCAATGTCTCTATTCATACCTTTGTCTGGTCTTTGATGGGCAATCATTTTTGACTAGTGACAACGTCAGAAATTTTTGAAGTGGTCGCGGGCTACTCTGGAAGGGGTTGGGCCTCAGGTGGAAGGGGTGGGGTGAGGACACTTCCATGCATCCCCATCCACAGATCCTGATTAGTATGGGGGTGGGGAAGCACACAAAGTTTTTGCCTTCCTCTCCTCATGAGAGAACTGCCAGCTGTACTCAATAGCTGGCAGTTCCCTTTAGGCACTCGTGCCCCTGGCAGTGGGAGGAGACTTCACATGCTCCCTCTTGCTGCCCCCAGGTTAGTTGGGGTGAGGGGGAGTGGTAGGGCCTCTGTGGGTTGGATCAACATGCTTGGTGGGCCACATCCAGCCCCCAGAGGCCCTTTTTCCCACCCCAGTCTAGCCCATTCGGGATTTTAAAAAGAGCCTAGTACCAAAACTGTATCCACATTCAGACTATGGTTATCATGAGCAGTATCTCGAATTAACTGCCTTCCAGCCAGCTTGCTGAGAATGCTACAGCAGGGATTTTCCATTGTTTCCATTTTAACATGGGACACCCAACTCCTCCAGTACAATATTTTCCATACTAAATTCAGGAGGCTTCTAGTCTTACTTGTCAGTTCTTTAGCACCCCAACTGACTTGTTAAAAAATAATGCCTATGCACAGTCTTCTCCCATCTTGGATAATGCAGGGTTGGATGGTAGAAGGTCACTGAGGGTGGCCTTCTGCATAATCTATGTAGATGGTTTCACTTCTCTGGGTAGGTATTTCAGTTTTAAGAATGCTCTAGATCCGTGTTTCTTAAACTGTGTTCTGCGGCACACCCAGTGTGCCATGAGGCAGTCAGAGGTGTGCCATGGAAAACAGAATTCAAAATGGCCACTTTGAAAGGGGCAGGTGATCTTTTTTAGTTCAATAACTTCCCCCGACACTCCCTGCCCCCCCCCCCCCCCCCCCCAGCTTGACCAGCCATGAACAGCTTATTTGTGATGTTGCAAGGGAGGAGGAGAAGCGGGGACGCACTGCTCTAGATCCTGTAGATATTTGTCCTTGTCTATGGGATTGGAGCAAATATGGTTGTATCTTAGGACTTGGCTGTATACAATAGATGGGAAAATGTGTCTGGGATGGAAGCTAGAGGCATGAAGGGTAAGAGTAGTGATTGTTAAATTTCTGGTATAGGGTTGTGGAAATTTGTCCATCATTTAATAGTACTGTAGTGTCAAAGAAGCGGATTTCTCGTGTGGACTGATCCAGGCTGAGGTTGGTGGTGGGGTGGAAGTCGTTGAAATCCCTGTGAAATTCTTCAAGGGTTTCTTTCCCGTGTGTTCAGATGATAAAGACGTCTTCATTGTAGTGTAAGTAGAGGAGGGATGCTAGGGGACAGGAGCTGAGGAAACACTGTTCTAGGTCAGCCATAAAAATGTTGGCATGTTGTGGGGCAATGCAGGTGCCCATAGCAGTGCCACTGACTTGAAGGCATAAATTGTCCCCAATTTGGAAATAGTTGTCATCAGTGTAGCATACGTAGAGTAAGGATCTCATGGGACGAGAGCTGAGCAAACATTGTTCAAGGTCAACCATAAAGACGTTGGCATATTGTGGTGCCATGCTGGTGCCATGCCAGTGCCCATTGCTGTGCCGCCAGGGGCAGCCCGTGAGCCTAGGCAAGCTAGGCAGGTGCCTAGGGTGTTGCTGGCCCGGGCGCCCCATGATGACATCACGACCATTGACGACCATTGATTGCGCCACCCCGCCTAGGGCTCCAGCTGCTGCAGCCGGCCTTGGGCCGCTCCTGTGTGCTGCTGACTTGAAGATGCAGGTTGTCTCTGAATTGGAAATAGTTGTGGGTGAGGAAAAAGTCACAGAGCCATCAGCATGTTTTGTTGGTCTCTAAGGTGTTGCTAGACTATTTGTTGTTGTTTTTTAAGTTTTTCCTCTTACAGACTAACTCGGCTACCCCCTGAAGCTTTTGCATAATTTGTGATAGTTTGGAGGAGAGAAGAGGAATTTACTTATTTGTTTGTTCACCTCTTGCATGGGGATTTCACATTGTGAATCTGACCTGTGAGAATGGCGATGGTAATCAGCCTACAGGTGAATCCTGCCAACACTTGCACAGGTAGCAGAGCAGTGCAGCCAGCCAGTGGAATGAAAATGTGCAGAGAGACAGTCTCTGCAGCAGACCTCTACTGTATTACAAGAGCTGATAGGCACTCAGGGGAGGCTGCAGTCTCTCAATTCTCCTAAATCTCCTCTTAATGAAGCCAGCTTGAGCCGCTGCCTCTTACTGCTGCTTTATTCAACACATGTGAAGCCCACCACTGGGAGAGGATGGGACAAAAAAAGGCATTTTAAAGAGAAAGATGCAGGACATCCTAACTAACAATGCTTACCCAAATAGTCCCACTGGGGTATTTGTCAAGTTCTGTGGAGCTGTACTGATAGTCATAATTGGTAACATGCTGCTACGCACTAGGGAAATTTCTGTTACCTGCAAGCCTGGGGGAACCACAAACAACAAACAAAATAATTACACAGGCATCTTAGCCTTCAGAATATTGCAGACATCTGAAATAAAAATAAAAGGCAATTTGTGTCCCACAAGGAATATTTCCATTTTGTCTGATCTTTCACAACAAGTCTTTCAAACAGCGTTTTCGTATTTACATTTCTATGGCCAGATTAGAGTAGCAAAACTTGTAACAATCAGGCCCCTGTGGTGACAGCTTCTTGCATTCAACCAAGAATGCACTGGTTCTAGAGCCATCCTGCAGGAGTGTGACTTGAGGGAACTTTCTGATTTTTAGTCTGTTTCAATATGAATGTCTGTTTTGTAAAGATTTAATTTTGCACACAACTTTCAGAATATGGGAGCATTAGTTTCCTTCTAGGTTTGTAAGAGAGAGAGATTACCTCGTGGGTGTACTCAGTAGGGAGTTACTGTGGAGATTAGATTCAAATCCTAACCATCACACATGGAAATGAGTTTGGGGATGATACAGTGTTAGTCTTCATTTGCCCTTCTCACGACTGTGCTGCCTCTTGCATTCAGGATCCTAGTGGTACAGCAGCAAGGTGCTGTAAGTGAGGGCTGCCATGCATTGGGAAAGCCTGACTGGAATGTTGCAGGTCTGGCTTGGGAACCATGTGGGTCGTGGGGAGATGTATGTGCAAAGTTTGAATAAGAAGAGGCTGCTGGTCAGATTATAGCCCCCCCGCCTCATAGGGGTTTCTGGAGCACAGCATGGTTTCTGGCTGAGATGTATGGAAAGTTCTGCTTCTGGAAATGCTCCTTTCCACATGCTGGGTCAGCCACAGACATGCTATCCTATAATTGCAGATTGGGGAGTTAAAAACAAAATTGCACAAATAAAATTAGTTATTTATGATTAAGGCTACAATTTAATTGTGGGTATTTTACATAAGTCATGGACTGGGGCAAGAAACAAACAAAAAAAAAATCACAGTCTGTGACATGTCCATGACACATGCCATAAATATCCGTTTTAATCTTTGGCCCCAGGAGTGGGGTGTGAGGAGACCCCCCCAGGGTGCCCACAGTGCCGGGAAAGAGGGGAGGAAGAATCCCACCACTGCTGGGGCAGGAAGGGGCCAATTGCTGTGAGGGCTCAGGCCACGGCCAATGGCTGCTCCCACCGCCCCCTTGACCTCTGCTTGGGCAGTCCCCCAGGCCAGCTGATGGCAGGGCCCTTCAAGCTGGCTGTACAGCTGCGTCAGGTTGTCTAAGCAGTTGGCTCCAGGGTCAGCCACGCTGGCCACTGCAGAAGTCACAGGAAGTCACAGAATGAGCGATTTCCACGATTAATATGGACCCTATTTATAATTGACCTAGTCTAATAACACAACAGCTTTGTTTCTCTTCCTCCTTTTAAGATAATTTTGAGATTTGCTTTGAAGTTTGTTAAAGTTTTTATGTAAAGTGAAAATCTCCCCCTCCAATGGACTAGTGAGTACAGGGAGTGGGAACGTTTCCCTATAGGAAATACAACCATGTAATTCATGAGAATATTTAAATTGTTTTCATATTTCCAACACAATCCATAATCTCACCATTCATTTTTTCATATGAATTTTGACATTTTCAAATACTTTTCTGGCATAGTGCAGACTTTTGTTAATCCTTCTCTTCTAATTACAGAACTTCCTTATGGCTGGGAGAAAATAGAGGACCCTCAGTATGGAACATACTACGTTGAGTAAGTATTTACATCAATTACTCGCTTCATGTAGATATCAGATATGGTAAAGAACAATAAACAATTGTTATGTAATAAATGCAAATTGTAATGCAGCTCTTTTAATTGTTGTGTATCCAGTGCAAATTAAGAGCCAGTCCTGGTGGCTGTAACCAAATTATGCACTATTCCTACAAGTTAATATCTAGGATGCTAATGCACTTAGCTCTCCTTCACGTTCAGTGAGATATGGCTCTCTCTTCTGCGGGAGGGGAAGGGGAGGAGGAAGCAATTAACCACTGCCCTGGGCTGGGAAGTAAGCAGTAGGATTCACTTTGTTTCTCTGCCTCACAGTTGTCCACGTGACTTTTCTTTTATAACTATATATAGAAATATAACTTTATCTGGCATTACTGACCTGCCCAAAAGTTGAATTTTTCTTAACATCCTGGCTGTAATAACTGAAGATACTGAATGTTGTATGTTTTAACGCAGGGGTGGGGAACCCTTTTTGGGGTCAAGGACTGCTGACCCCCAAGCAAGTAGATTTTGTCTGCTCCAGCTCCTCGGTGGGATAGTGGCAGGGGGCTGCAGAGCCAATGCAGGCTCCCGAGTGCTTCGTGGGGGGGGCCCTGAGCTGCAGGATCCAGAAACATGAGAGTTGGGGGCTGCAGGTTCTCTACCCTGGTTTTAAAGAGATCAGAGTATAAGTCTCTTTTCTGAGATACCTTTACAGTGGAGCCTCTGTTAAAACAGTAGCACTTGCTATTCACAAACCAGCAGGAAATTGCTTTCCCCTCATCGCCAGGCACCAAAGCACTGTAGCAGAAAACCACTAACCCAATGTGACTGGATTACTCATTTTTTCAACGTACTCTGGAGGAAAACCATCTTTAATCAAGAGAAAAATTAGCAGAGGATTGAAAATATTAGCATTTGGTGGGAAAATGTTAGTGAGATTTGCAGAGCCAACACTTGTTTTAGTATTGTCCAGGCTAATAAATATACTGATACTTCAGCTTTGCTTTCATACTTCAGTCCTTAGCAATGAATGCAACAGATACCATCATGGATATATTCAAGCAGCCTCCTTTTTATTGTATTCATGGTAACTGCAGTGTAATAATCTATCAATTGAGCGAAGGTAAATATTGCATTTTTGCTTAAACCTAATATTCAGGATAAATAATTTTTGATAGAAAATTCGGAGAAAAACATGGTACAGATTTCTGATCCTTGGCTCACAACCTTCCTACTTCAGAGTTTTGTAGGTTCATAAAACATGTTCGTGAGCCATAATATTCCAAATGCCTAGGAGGAAGCATTTGCTTCAGTAATTCTATATGGATCAATAATAGTTTTCTGAAGTGAGTTCAAAGAAATATTTTGCATGTTCATATGTTCTTGGATGAAAATCTAACAGAGGTTTAATCAGAGTGGAGCATCCATGCAGAGATGCTGTAGAACCGATACTACTTTATTGTTAGAAAGATTCCTTATTCAAGAGATACTCATACCTATTACATATTGTATTGTGTGTTTGATCCTAATTTATGGAGACGGTGCTGTTTGCAACATACTTTATCATGTGAATGAATAATTTAAGGCTTTGATTGTTGGAGGAAGCTGAAGGGTTAGATTGCTTTGCTTGGATAATAAATCACTTCTGCTATGCACATTTGACATAACTGGTCCTTGCTTCTTCTGGCATGATAGGGAGCCTCCAGGTAAATAAGTAAAATCTGGGTGACTGCCTATTAAACAAGAGACTAAAGGAGGGACTTCTTGACACCTGAGAACCTCACTGCGAGAAACCACCCAAGGTGAAACAACATAGTTTCCTTCACAGTTCATACTTGATACTCAGAAATGTTCAACCTGCTCTGGGGGAAAAAAGCTGAGCAAAAATTGGTATTTATAAGGATTCAGTCAAAAATGACAATTGAGAAAAATCTAAAATTCAGGTTTTTTTCTCTGCTGTGTCTCATTCAGTTATACCCAGAGACAAAAATGTGTCACATTTCTGTTCTGAAAAGTTAATCCGTAAACCTGATCTTTCTCTAAAATTGTGGAGTTTTTTAAAGCTTTTTCAAAGGGTTTTATTGTGGCAAGGGAATAAAAGCTCCCCCCTCCCCCGCCAAAAAAAAGATGCTATATTGAATTTTTGATGATGACTATGGAGCATCTGAGTTTGTACCACAGTTAGAAAGTGCCAAAACTTTCTCATTTTAAGCATTGCATGATTATTTTTCAGAGTAATCCCTCAATTATGAAATCAGAAATGGATAATGTTGTAATGCCAATACACTTTTTTAGATGTTGCTTTGAAATGGCTGCACCTGTATCTTAGCTGTTCAAAGTGATCTCATTTCAAAATTCTGATTTCCTTAAATTTCCTATGAGTAGTTCCATGTAGATGGAAAATAAACATATCTGCATTCTGAATAACACACAGAACAAGTAGCCAAAGTAACGCCTCTTCATTGCACTAGCTTCTATAAATGAATTAGCCTTTAATAACTGTGCGAGAATCTGGCTTAAGAAACATGTATTTTAAAGGGGTTCTCTAAAATCTTATCACATAATTTGGAAAAAAGCTATTGCTGCAATACACCATCAAAATGAAGTCCTCCTAAGTAAAGTTACCTGTGATGTCTATACTGCTCTAAAATCCATTTTTTTCATCTTAGTAGAACTCACTCAACCATGTACTTAGTTTCCAAGCAGAGCCTCTTTTGTGTTTAGAATGGAAATAGGGAATTGGTCTGTCTTTTGATTTGCCTTTAAATCTAAAGCTGAGCCCAACTGCATGTTTGAGCTCCCGGTGGTTTAATGCTGGAAGAACTCCATCTTATTTAAATCATTAGCGAGAAATGCTTGGATTACTCCACTTAGCTCAGAGGTAATCCACATTCCTTTTTATGAGCTGGGACCGGAAGGGCTTTCGATCCTTTTAAATGTTGAAATAGCAGAATATGTTTGTTCTCCTTTTTACGCATGGGAGAACAGAGCGGGGACCTTCCAAAGGAGAAAATCTTCAGGAACCAGTGTAAGGTTGGACCAAAAGAGAGAATTTCCTTCTTCTTTGCTTGATTAGAAAAAGAACGTAGCAGAAAGTCAGCGATTTCATCTTTCAAGCCCTGTTTGGAAAATGCATACACATTGTCTAAGGCTGGATACATATTGTACTGTATTTAGCATTGGAAATAGACTGCAGTGGGACTGACTAAATATTCCTGGGTTCTGCTCCAACGTTGCCATTGCGTAATTGTATGACCTCAATCAAGTCACATAATCTCTTTGTGTCTGTATAGCCAGATAACTTCTTACAGATTGTAATAGAGGGTTATGGCAATTTTTTGCAGTATCATTTAATTCACCTTAAGCATCTTAAAAGCTCATTGTATTAAAAATTCAAATGTTTGTGGTGTTGAGGAATTGTATGTAAATTGTCTAGGAAACATGAGTCATGTAGACTATGCAAGTGTTATGAGCTTCGAAGGATTCTTTTAAATAAGAATGAATTATTGATTGAGTAGGTTTCCTAGGTAAGTTGGGAATGTAAACACCCACTTCCACTCCCTGATCTTTTGAAGCTTCTTTGTCTTTGAAGTGATCTTTGTCTACAGATGACCTCTTTCTAGGATCAAAAGGCCCCAGTGGCATAAAGGATTACTTGCAGGTTCATGGGTGTTCTTGGTTTGAGCAAAAGAAGTTCATTGTCCAGAGCCCTTGTTGGAGTTGAGGTTGCATGCTTATGGCTTCTTTTATTGTTAAGAACATAAGAAAAGCCATACTGGGCCTGACCAATGGTCCACCCAGCCCAGTATCCTGTCTGCCGACAGTGGCCAATATCAAATGCCCCAGAGGGAAGGGACACAACATGTAATCCTCACGTGATCCCTCCCCTGTCACTCACCTCCGGAGAAACAGAGGCTAGGGACACCATTCCTACCCATCCTGACTAATAGCCATTGATGGACCTACCCTCCTTGAATCTATCTAGCTTTTTTTCCCCACCCTGTTAAAGTCCCAGCCTAGTTGTTAATGGCTCTCTCTCTAATGCTTTTACCTTAAGAATAAAAGTACTTTCTTAGAGCTTTGTAGTGACTTAGATGAATTTAGAAGGAGCTGTGTGGCAGTTAGCTGTTCACTGTAATTAAGAAGATAGGTTAAATCAGGTCAGCATAATCAGTATGATTTTGCTGGGAATTTGCACAGCAGCCATGGAGCTATGCAGCCTGGAAGAACCCTGTGCAGGAGAGACAGCGAGATATGTCTCTGTGTGAGGCTTAAACGAAGCACACGAGATCTTTTATAGGGGAAAAGGGTAGTACGCTGCATTTATTGAGAATACAACAGTAGCTTATGCTTTTCAATCACTCTCTCACACAAATACCATACACATAGTCCTGCCAGACAATGTTATAGTTACCAGTCCAGAGTCTGTATCAATCTAGTGGCCAGCCAGATGGATCAGAGAGAGAGAGCAGGGCCTTTTGTCAGTCGCGATCTGATGCTCTCTTGGAGTTGGTGGCAAGATGAACCCAAAGTTCCATAGCAAAGCACCCTGCTTTTATAATCCTTTTCTCTGTTGAAGTCTATGGATTTCACTGTCTGTCTGTGACCGGTGTGTTATCTTGTTGATGTCAATCATTCCCAAAACATCTCAAAAGGCTCATCCTGTACTCAATCGTCCTTTGGGGTGCCAGCTCCACTTTAGGGCTGTCAATCTGCCAGTCCGATCACTCCTCCAATCTTATTAACATAGACATAGTACCAAAACTCTGTCACTTTACTTACTAAACTCACTAAGCTTTAAAACAGAGGAATATATATATCTTACTAAAGTGCTTAGTTTAATAAAATATTAAATGTGATAATGTGTTGTTTTACATTGCTACATTATTAATCCTAAAATACAAATATAAAAAGAATAAAACTTTCAATCCCAACATCTGCTCAAGATAGGCAACAGATGGGGAGCCAGAACCCCAAGAATAAGTTCCCTATAGAGAGGGAATATAGATGCAGTTGTCCTCATGCAACTAACCATTTTAAAAATTGCATAATAATACTGTGTGTCAGGACGAGTGGGGATAAAATCTTTGGCTTCTTTTACTCTATTACTGTATGTCTTATTTTTATGCTATACCTTTTACAAAGATTCTATCACCCTTTTCTAGTTTTTTTGCAATTAGATATATATGATGAGTGTAGGTCATTTTCATTAGGTTGTTATTACTTGTATTAAGGTAAAACATATGTTCTGCTCATAAAAACCTAACTATTCAAGTGGGCTGATCCCTCTCTTACTTGCTCTGTTGATGATTCATCCAGCCTCCTAATGCCCTGTTATCACCACCTAGTCAACCTACCTGAGCTACCCAAGTACATTATCCAAGTCTCTCAGACAGACAGACAATTTCCTTGCTCTCTAGACTTGCACCCTTTTCTGGAGTATAAGCTGGTATTGTACCCTCTTGCACTGCACAAGGATATGTTGTACAGTGCAAACTCATTAATATGGTTTGCTTTATCCTTGATGAGGGAAAGATGTGTACAAAAAGCCTGTGTTTACCAAGCTGAGATTTTCCCAGACTTTTCACTTACACACTGGTTTAGATAAAACAAGTGTGTTAACTACAGAGAGAGAGGTTTTAAGTGATTATAAGTGATAGCAAACAGATCAAAGCAGGTTTCCTACCATATAAAAAATGCAAACTGAGCATAATATACTAGTCAGATTTTGAATTAGCAATTTATCAACCACACTGACGATACAAGCAATTCACCAAGTTTCTATACACAGTCTCAAAATCAGCACTTCACCCAGTTCAGTTTTTGTTTCTCAGGTGTTCGCTTGAATGGGGAGTGATACATCTTCAGTATTCATTACTTCAGATACAAAAATGATACATGCATACAAGTAGGGTAGTCACGTTCAGCAAATCATAACTTCTCCGGACATTCCTCACATGACCCATCTTGAATATGGGATGCAGTGTTGCAACCTCATTCTCTGTTTCCCCCTTACCAAAACTGCTGAAAATATATTAATGAAGCCCTGGAAATAAAATTACATACCGCATAACCAGACTCTTCCCAGTCTGAGTTCTGAAGTGTATTGTTTCACCTTTCCAAGAATTGCAACCCACAACTGAAACACAGGGAAGATAAGTATGCAGTTCTGAGACTACATGGACAGTTCTTCTTTTTAGTTATGTGGAGATCCTAATGTTCACATAGTCAATGGAGAACAAAATGAATCTTTCTTGGGTCTTTATGAGCAGATTTGAATATAGGTCCAACCTATCTAAAGATAGACAAATCCTGTACATTCAAGAAGCCTTGAGTGCTGGCTTTGCCATTTTCTTTGATTTGATTATTGGAGCTCTTCACTAATAACATTGCACCTCATTTTAAAAAGGAGCCAACTCACAAAATTTGTAAAAGAGAATGGAATTTAGTGAACAGGGTGCCTCTTGGCTGAAATACATTATTATGAAGGCTCCCGATGTGCCAGAACATGATTCACTTTGCTTCTACAAGCATCTTACAAGCACTAACAGCATCAGTGGCTTTGAAAAGTAAATCAAAGTGTTTGAATAAAAAAATGTAACGGTTACCCCCAGTGGTTGTAATATTATCTCAGTGTTCGTCACTCCTTGGTATTTATCTAAGATAAAGCAAAATAATATTTGTGCTAATACCACCTGTGGTTCTGTTCCCCATGGAATTGGAATTAAACTTTTCCCCCCTGAAATTCTAACATGTTTGTCTGTTTTGCAGTCATATTAACCAGAAAACCCAGTTTGAAAATCCAGTATTGGAAGCCAAGAGAAAAAAACAGCTAGGACAGACTGATGTTGGCCCTTCAAAAGCAGGTACTTTAAATGGCTATTTTTCACTATTAACTGCAGTGTTGTTATGAATGAAGAGCAGTCATAAAAATTAAGTTTTCTGGGTTTATTACTTCAAGTAGATTTTCATTTTGTGTTTTTGCCACTAGTTTAAATGTTCAGTGTGATCTTCAAAAAGTTTTTTTCCTGACTTATATCGAGATGAAAACTTGCACTAAATTAACATGTTTTGTTGTATGAAATATAGGGAGTCCAAAAGTTTGTTGAAAAAAAACCTGTTTTAATTAGCATTTTCTCATTTCTTAACATTTTGCATGCTTATTTATGAAATTTTAATTTTGCATAAATGTAGTATGTTTTATTGAATTTTCTAGCTTTTTCAGGAGAAGTTACTGGAGCTATAGCAATCTCATAGGTTAGTTTGTGTCTGTCAACATAATTAGGAAACTATGCACATATAGTTTTAACAGGCTAGCTCCACTAATGTATGACTATTGCAAATTGAATATGGATCTTCCTATCTGCATATGTATGTGTTATGAATTCCTTAAGGCAATATTAGTGTTTCCTGTCCCTGTTTGTAGTTTCTCCAACATTGTGGAGGTTTTGGAAAGCTTTTTGCACTTGAAACTGATCAGCCATTCTAAAGCTGGTACAGGTTGAACCTCTCTGGTACGGTAACATCCATGGTCTGGATGTCTGCTTATTATGGGGGTGGCCAAGTTTCCTGAGATCCCATTCCCAGCTCTCAGTGTTCTGTTCTGTTGTTCAGCTTTATTTTGCTTAAACATCTTGTAAGAGCCCAGTAAGCGGTGGAAGTGTTGGTAAAGCTGCTAGACTGTAGTGACCTCTTGTGATTTGGCAAATTCTCTGGCTCAGCACCAGTTGGGTCCTGAGGATGCCAGTCTAGAGAGGTTCAACCGGTAGTCATAAGTAGCTTGAACACTCCATAAACCACAGTTTGGTTAGATAGCAAGGGAGTTAAGAGAACCTGCCAGAGTGGATGAGAAGCAGCAGCACTGAACTCTTAGGTTTCTGGCTGTTACCATTTTTTAATTGGTCCTTGTAAAAAAGATTAGAGCACAGAATCAAGAGAACTGGAACTGGAGATCCTAACTCAGAAGTTGCATGGGGTTTTGATTATTTGTTCAAAGTCTCCTCTCATCCTCTGTTGCAACCTTATATACATTTGCAGTCAGGTTAATTTGTTTTTTTCTTACCTGGCTAAGCTATTTGCTTGTATCAGTGGGTCATTTGTTAGCAGCACTGATGATGAAACACATTGACTTCTCTTTACATGCAGAACCAGAGAAGTCACTCTTCACCAGAGATCCAGCCCAACTCTCAGGAGCCCTCCTACGGACATCGCTGAAGAAAAGCACTATGGGATTTGGCTTCACAATCATTGGTGGAGACAGACCTGATGAGTTCCTCCAGGTGAAGAATGTGCTGAAAGATGGACCTGCTGCGCAGGATGGGAAAATTGCACCAGGTGAAGTAGCATTTCTCTGTTTCAAGTGATGCTGCATGGCCAAAGGAGAGGAAAGCAGCTGATGGGCATTGGGGAATTAGATGACTCTACCTGCAGACATTCTTTCTGAAACAGTCCCTTACCTGAAGCTGTTTGTCAGAGTGGGGAAAATACTATGTAATGTCCAAACCGTGCCCCCCCCAATTTGAAAAGATGCAAATATTTTAATACAAATCTACATTTTGGGATTTTTGTGAAAGTTTAGGGGTTCTGTCTATTGCAAATGCTTTGCTGTATGTTACTAAAGATTGTCAAGCTCAGCTGATGGGCCGCTTGAAGGGTCCCTTGAACTACCACGTGTTCATTTTATTGTTTGTGGCAGTACTTCCAGCCTGGAGCTTCACTGTACTGGGCAGTCATAAACATGCCTTAAGTAGCAGTCCAGTCCTGCAAAAGCTTATGGTCTAATTTAAGACTAGAACTCTACAAATGAGCATAACAAACTGAGCAGAGAAGGGATAATTGGGTAATAAATATTTATTACACTGTAGTACTTATTGAACTATCTCAAGGTGATGGTAGTATGAATGTTAAACCCTGCTGCTTATGTGGGTTATTGTCATGATATAAACTGCAATGTGAGGGGTTTTTTACGGGGTTTGTTTTTTGAGGTTAGTTTCCTCTGCCAATCATGGTTAATTGTTACTAAGAAAATTGGAGCTGGTAGGCTTAGAATTTAAATGGTTGAAATTATACTTTTGTATAATGCTTCTTTTAGGACTTATTAGCGTCCAAGTTTTTGATGCCAAGGCTGAGTGCAATGTAACAATATTGCCAACACAAACTTGTGCTAATTTTTGTTACTTGTCTATATTCAGTATTTAGTTTATTTGAAGTGCTTTTCTCCTATAGTTTTAACATGATATTGGATTGGCTTTGTATGCTGATTTGGCCCGGTTTGTGCAGTGCTCAGTCTAGTATGCATGTTGCCTAGTCGCAGCTATAGATAGTTGTGATTTTGCCTCTAGTACAGCGATAACGATGCTCACCAGCCAAAAGTAGTTCATTAATGTGTCTCCTGCATCTCTTTGCAGCACATAATGCTAAAACTCTGATTAAATTATTAACCAATCAGGATGTTTTTTTCTATGTTATCAACTATGTAGTTGATAAAATGCTTGGTCAGCCATTTTGCTGAAAGAATAAATAAAAGTATTCCCCTATCATACTAATAAGAAACTATAGCAAATAAAACAAAGAATTCATGCTACTGGGGTTCTTCTGGGGTAACGCTTATGGCTAATGTGGCTACTGAACCAGAGGTCGGGGTATCACTGCTCTAGATCCCTGTTAATGAAGGCCACGTATGGGTTAGGTTATGCATATTGATTTTTATGCAGTCTTCATTAAGGGTTTTTAGAAAGTCTAGCTTCCACATGATAAAATGTATGCATTTTGTGTGGTGTATAATTTTTCCCATTTTAAACACATTTAGTAATACTGATATTTTCTTGAGTTTTCTGATCTTTTTACCAAATGATTATTGCTACAAGGGGAATAATTTGTGTGAAATATTCAGTTGTTGTCAGTATGTAATTTTGTTTTCTAATCTGGATTAGATTTCTTAATTTAGCCTCAGATTTGCTTGCTGGGAGTGCCTTGAGGCATTCCAGGCACTGAGTAACTGGTCTTCCACTGGAGCTTTGGATTATTTAGATTAGTTGAGTTGCTCCTGTGCCTTGAACATGAGGCAACCCAGTGTTTCCTCTTCTGTCTTGTGTCATGTGTCTTGTGCCATTGTGGTCCACTTCCACGACAGAGACAACTTTTCAACGCTTTTCTTATGGGTTATTTATTGTCCTTCTCTTTTCTGTCTTCTGTTACGTGGCAAGGGCTTGTCTCGGAATACAGTCTTTGTCCTCTGCATAAGCCCAAACCACTTCACCATTCTTTCTTGAATCATTGTCTCTACAGTCTGTTGGCCAGTCTTCTGTAATCATCAGTCTGTGACCTGGTGTGCCTAGGGCAGCCCTCACTGGAAATGCCAGGTTAGGACAGCATGCAAAAGTGAGTGCAGATAATCTTGGTATGATGGGTTCCACTGAAGTAAAACTCCCCAAACAATCTTCTAATCCCCCACATTGATTATCAAGAAGCAAAAGAGAAGTCGCACAGCCTCCTTTATAGCATATTCGTTCTCTGGCCCCAAATCAGCACTTACAAACACTACAGTGAAAAGTTTATTTTAAAACTCTACGCACATGTACAAAATATTTTTCTGACTCCAAAAACCATCTATGTTATCAGGTCAAGATAGGTTTGGATCAAAATGCCATGCTGTCAGCCAATCCATTAGAATCTAAAACGTAAGATTTGTTAAGAAAATAGAATAAGAGAAATGTTAAATAGTAAAGCTGCCACATACAAAGATTCAGTGTAGTCCTTAGCAGTATTGGTAAGTTTGCTGGCTTTGAAAGTCCAGCTGGAACATATCCACAGCTTGGCTGGTCATTCAGTCCTTTGTTCAGAGCTTTGCTTGCAGAAAATGCAGAAGCAGCAAGGGCAGCAGGGACTGGATGCTATTAGCTAGTCCTTCTGTGTAATGAGTAGGAATTTTTAGTCCATGTATCATGCATACCTCTTTGATTCCATACGGATCTTTCCTAAACAATAACAAAACAGTTGTATTTTCTGTACGCTGTTGCTGCTCTCTGGATAGTAAGATTTAGTGCAGCATTGCATTGCATCCATTGTTAAACTCAGTCACTGAGTGACATGTTTCAGCTCAAAGGCTATAAATAAGAAGAAAAGGGTTTTACTGGTATTTAGAAGGGATGCATATGCTTTAACTAAGATTCTTCAAAATCCATCTCATTTTAGTGGCTTTTACAATTCCAGTGGTTCCATGCATTGCTGCTAATCCACCTGCAGTATGTTACCTGTCAGATGATCCTAACAAGCGCTGGTAAGGCAAGGAATCCAGTAGAGAAAGCACTCAGTAGGCAACACAAATAGGCAACACTTACAATGAAAGTGGTTCTTGCAGAGTATATGCAGTAAAGATAAAGGATGGCAGTTCTAGCAAAGCGCACACTCTGCTCGGCTGTATTTCAAGTGGCTTAGCAAGGATTTCCTGCATTTGTGGAGAGCACCTGTTCTCAGCAGCTATAGGGATTTGTAAGGAATGTCTGTGCCAACATGTCTTTAATGCACGCATCTCTGTGCTATGTATTCTTACGAACTTCCGGCTTTAGATTATGCCACTGTCTCTCCAGTGTAATAAAGGAAAAGGATTTGCATTGCTAACTCTTCCTGTTTAGGAATATTTCCCCCTCCGATGATGCAATACTGATGCCATCATGAAATTCTCAGTTGATTGCCATGACATAAAAGCTCCACAGTGGGAAGAAAAAAGGAAGCAAAACTTAGCCTTGACATCTACATCCTGAGCAAATGCAAGAAACAAAACAACCTCTCCAGTGGGCTCATTATCTATGTCACTTTTTGGCCACTACATACAACTTCAAATATACTGAACAGCTCTGCAGGAGGACTGCAGAAAAATTGAGGAACCATCTCTAGCACCTCTCATACTACTGAAGAGACCATCTTAAAGGAGAAATCTTTACATACTCCCACACACTAGAAATAAAAAATCAGGAAACCTATCCAGAGGTCATGGAAGAAACTCATAACTGTTTAAAAAAAAACACACCTCAAACCTGATGGCAGCTATCCAATCCAAAACCAGAGTGAAACCAGCTACAAACGACTCCACAACCCACAGAACACAAACACCCAGCAATACTGTGGCATCAGGACCCACCCCACTGACACTACACAAAATCCCCATAGCATCAGTTTATCGAGACTGTGCCAACCAGAGCTGAATTACTTCCCAAGGCATTGAATTTCTGCTTCATCACAGAACCTGATACCATACTAATATGGAGTCATCAAAAGAATTCCTCTACTTCTCCGCTTCAGAGAATCTTCATAATGACAACATCTGTGCTCCCCGCTGTCAACTTTTTCTGGCCAAGAAAATGTTTTTATAGGTAGGGATGGTGTAGGTGGAGCTTGGTCCTGCCTTGAGGGCGGGGGGCTGGACTCGATGACCTCTCGAGGTCCCTTCCAGTCCTATTATTCTATGATTCTATGATTCTAGGGGGTTCCTCGGGATGTGAAAAATTATTTTAGGAGTTCCTCCATGGGAAAAAGGTTGGGAATCACTGAGTTAACTACTTATACAAAACAATCTTTTCCACCTTGTGTTTAGTTATGACACTGAGCACTTTTCCCAGATCTGAAGAAGAGCTCTGTGTAGGTCCAAAGCTTGTCATTCACCAGCAAAACCTCACATTCTCAAATGACCCTGAAATATCCAGTTTGTGTATGCATACAAAATGTAGCATAGCTCTTGGCCACAAAGTCTCCCAGTGAAGGAAAATCACTGCATAACAGTGGGGTTTGATTTTCAGCTTCTGTAAGCCCTGGTTAATTAATAACACTGAATAATACGGAAAAAAATAATTCCCTGAATGACTTTTATAAGAAACAAATTATTCAGGAATAGCCTTTCCCCTTGAAAGGCACCTGCACTAATCACCAGATTAAAGCATTGCAGGGAGACTTCAAGACTAGTAACATTTGCTGTTTCAATTCTTGAGTCCGCTCCCCTCTTTTCCCAGTTTTGAGCTGGGATGAATCGCAGCTGTTCCTCATTCTTGCAGGATTTTCTAATTTTAGATTTTGGTTTATCTTAACCATGCATGATGTAACAGTAGGCTTGTGCAGCATAGCATATTATTCATGTATATTTAAATTGCTTTACATGAGGCCTGTGGAAACCTTTGACTTAAATCTTCCTTTTCTGTGTTGCTTGTTCCTCCATTTATCTCAAGATCTCACTCTCATTTAATTTAAATTAAAGTATAAAACAACTTGCCAGCGTATCAGTGGCATTTTCATTCAACATCACATTGTTTGAATGAAACACTTCCTATGGCTTACGTGTGGTCTAGTAGTTGGAGTACTGGCCTGGGGCTTGGGAGACCTGAATTTTATTCCTGGTTCTGCCACTGGCCTGCTGGTGACCTTGGGGAAATCCCATTTGCTCTCTGCCCTGTAATCCCCATCGATAAAATGAAGCTAATGATACTGTTTTCATTTGTAAAGCAATTTTTAGATCTGTTAATGAAAAGTACTATGTAACAGAGAGGTGGTATTATTCCATTAACCCGTGAATATATGGCCGCCTTCCTGGAAAGTAAGCATTTATTTGAGCTCTGCTTCTTCTTTTTAAACTAAACATCAGAGTATACTCTTTGGTATAAACATCTGACCTAAAAAGCTTCATAAGGTTTAGGGCTTGTTCAGCCTCATTTATTGAATTGTTTCCACTCCCTGTACACATGTAAAGCAAAAATAGCGCTTTTTCTCTGCCTGGGAGCAAATTTGGATTCCTATTTAGATTGCAAGTGGTCGCTGCCAAAAGTAAAATGCCAAATGTTAAAACAGATAATGGAACAGCAGTGGGAGTGAATAAAGCAACACAGAAAGGGCAATGTAGGAGGCGAGAGAGGTGAGAGAACTCTGCACTATGTGAGGAATGAAGTATGTTGTGGCTACGTTGTTCCTGGTATCTAGAAGATATTGGGTTTGCAGAGATGCATTCCCATATCCCTGTGTATTGGATAGCTACTCCTACTGTTCTGGAAAGAGAATAATTTATTACTGTTAACAACTTTATTACTTAATAACAAAAACTTTGCAACTAATTCCTGACTCTGCTGCTGGCCTGTGCTTTGACTTTGACAAGCTTCTTCTCTTCTCTTTCGTTTTCCTCACATGTAAAAATGAAGGTTGTACTTAACCATTATTGTATGGTGTTTGTAGGCCTTCATATCCCAAAAAAGGCATGTCCCTACATATTATAATTATTCTTATATGAGGGTTAATATTTTGGAGACAAAGAAGCCTAAGTGGTTAGCCAGTTTGCTCATTGGAAATATTTCCATGCTCGAAAATATACACTCATACATATACATGGTGAAGCAGACTTCCAAGTTGTTAATACTTGCTGCTATTTAAATATGCACAGATGAGAATGCATTTTCCATTGAAGCAAAATAAAGAGGTGTTCAGGAAACTGCTTGTTTAGAATCTCAGTTTAATTTTGGCCATTCCAACAGAAACCAGGGGAAAAAAAATCTGATGTATTATGGATTGAGTTTAGACTGTTGTATAACATGAATTAAAGAGTAAGACAGCTGCTTGCATTAATGTGTGCACTTCCCTTTTCTGCAGCCCATATAGAGTCATTCTCTAAATCTGCAACAGATTAAATTTTGTATTTTTAGAACCGTGTCTTTTAAACTTAATATAGTCTATATTTTAGCTAAGAGGAAAATCCTTCTGGTGGCATATGGTTAAGGGGGATGACACAGCCTCACTCCTTCCCTTTTATTAATATCTTAAATAATTGCCTATAATCTTGCTTTGTAATTACTAAGGGGATAGTCAGTGTTTCATTCTATACCTTAGATTAAAATGTGTGAAAAATGGATATGGTTTAGTTTCTGACTTTGATGATGATGAACTCCTTTTTGATAACAGGTGACGTCATTGTAGACATAAATGGCAGCTGTGTCCTGGGCCAGACCCATGCAGATGTTGTTCAGATGTTTCAGCTAGTTCCTGTCAACCAATATGTGAATATGACGTTGTGTCGTGGTTACCCCCTTCCTGACGACAACGAAGACCCCGTGGTAGACATCCTTACAGCTGCACCCATCATCAATGGCCAGCAAGTGTCCAAGGGAGATGTCTGTGTAACCAGCCAAGATTTAATACCTGGAACAGTCATTTTAGACCAGAATGGGAAACCTGGTCACATTCTGGTCAATGGTCGCTTGAACAGTCCTTCCATGGACCCAACTGAACAGAGGATCTCAGTGTCTTCTCCAGTAGGCTCCCAGCCAGAACTCATCACTATTCCTCTGGTCAAGGGCCCTAAAGGGTTTGGGTTTGCAATCGCAGACAGCCCTACAGGGCAGAAGGTGAAGATGATTTTAGACAGCCAGTGGTGCCACGGCCTTCAGAAGGGGGATGTAATCCAAGAGATTTATCATCAGAATGTACAGAACTTGACGCATCTGCAGGTGGTGGAGGTGCTGAAGCAGTTTCCAGTGGGAGCAGAGGTCCCATTGCTTATCGTAAGGGGAGGTAGGTAGGAATGAGACTTTATTATCATTTATCCTGTCAAATATGAAGGTGTTCAGAAAGTGGCGCATTCTACAAAGTTTTAACTATCATTTCCATTCTCTACCCTGCTATAGGTGTAAACATATTGTTGTGGAGCATATTGTTCTGTGTTTTACTGCATATCTGAGTGTAGTCTGTGCTGAATGCATTGTCCATTCTGGCTCCTCTGGGAAAGTTAGGGCAACGGTGCAAAGTTTCTTCCAGGTTGACTAGTGCTTGAGGAACATTTATAAATGGCAAGAAGGACACCATACAGAGTGGGTGGGGCTATGCTGGTCATGAACCCTGAAAGCCCCCTTCAGCACCCTACATAGACAGTGAGTACTATTGACTATAACCAGTTGCTCAAACATAACACTAAAAATGTAAACACAAATAAGAACACATTTACCTAATTCATATTAATGTGACTGGGAAAGAATAGGCAAGGGTCTGCTCCAAAGCGCCATAAATAAATAAATGGATTATCATTGACTTGAGTTTTTGGGTCAGAGCCTGTAAGAACAAGCCAACTGTCACAATGACATCTTCTATTTGTTATATATATCCATCTAGGAACCTACCAGGGACTCCATATTGTTGGCCCTGTGGGATGCACAACAAAGCCTTGTCAGTGATGACATGTATTATAGGAACTTGTTCGCAAGGTGAGATCTGACCCTCAGGCTCTCCTTCCAGCCTCAGGAGAAGTACCTCACAACACATGCCTAGCATTTGCAAAGACACCAAAGTCTTCACTATTTACCATTTCCAGTTGCAATAGCAATGCAGGAATAAATCAGATTTCCTTGGTAGTAAATAATGTTCTACCTGCCAAACTCAGTAACTTGCCTCAGCACATTAATCAGAGTAAGTGCCATCAAACCACAGGCCTTGGCAGTGGGAGAAATGTATGTTGTTTCATTTTCATGCTTTTTCAGTTGAAGGGACCTCTGCCAGTCAATATTGTTGGCCAAGTAAATATTCACTTAGAATTTTGAAAGAATCTTAGAACATACAGCAAACCTTATGCTTTCACATGGGAAGTGAATGAAAAGTGATCGGTTTCAAGCCAAGAATAAGAGATGAGCATGTTGGCTCTGTTCAGTGTAAAACAGTGGGTGTTAAAATAATTAAAGTTGCTTCTTTTATTTAGACATTTTTCTGTTTTCTTTAGGTTCCTCCTCACCTGCTAAAACTTCCAAAGTGGTAAGTATTCATGTCATTCATAGTCTGTTTACTGTGGTCAGTGCTGATGGCCGGATTTGATTTTCAGTCACAAAACAAAAGATTCATGGGTCTCCATAGAGGCTGTTTACTAATTTACCGATCCCTGAGTTCTTTTATGTATTCAGGCACAGGTGTCCTCTGACTGGCAAGCAGGCATGGAATGCGCTACGATAAACACATCTGTTCTCTGGACCGTTTTTACAAGATGCAGAGAACATCTATAGGCTATTCCAGGCTGTCTGATTTTTAGTCATCCAGTTAAAGACTGCTGTTGATATTTCTACTTCTTTCAATGGAGGTTTTCCTTGTTATCTCTGCACTCCCACTCAGCCCCCCCTCCCTCTGTATAAATTGGAGATCTCTGCTTCATGGGAGTAAGTGGGATCAGTTCTTAAGGATCATACTTCATTAATCACATCACATCAGAGACATGGAATAGCTCCTCACTATGTTGACAGTGATTGTTAGTGGAGAGAGAAGTGTCCTGTCTAAGAACTCAGATAACTTGATTATTGCAGGTTCTGCCTTCTTGATAAACAATGTAAGATACATAGCATCCTTGAACACAACTGTCAGCTTCCTCTAAAGAACCCATATCACTTAAAGGAGAAGCTGGAGCCGTCGTCATTCACTGTCACAGTAGGAATCATTTCCAGGGTTAGTGTTGCAGGGAAGAACAAGAAAAGTGCAGAGGTTGATGGTGAGGCTGCAGGTAGCTTCCATGGTTTGTAGGTAAACAGCTCATTGTAACGCCAGTGTCTTCATGTCCCCAGGCCCTGGCACCACACCTGAAAAAATATATATTTTTAAATAAGTAAACTCATAGTTTCACAGTTTTTATTTTTTAAATAAGTAAATACTAGGACTAGAAGGGATGTTGAGAGGTCATCAAGTCCAGTCCACTGCCCTAAAGGCAGGACCCAGGACTGTCTAGACATTTATCTAACCTACTCTTAAATATCTCCAAAGATGGGGATTCCACAACCTCCCTGGGCAATTTATTCCAGTGTTTAACCACCTTGACAGTTAGGAAGTTTTTCCTAATGTCCAACCTAAACCTCCCTTGCTGCAGTTTAAGTCCATTGCTTCTTGTTCTATCCTCGGAGGCCAGAAATAACCATTTTTCTCCCTTCTCCTTGTGACGCTCTTTTAACTATCTGAAAACAGCTATCATGTACCCTCTCAATCTTCTCTTTTCCAAACTAAACAAGCCCAATTCTTTCAGTCTTCCTTCATAGGTCATGTTCTCTAGACCTTTAATCATTCTTGTTGCTCTTCTCTGGACCCTCTCCAATTTCTCCACATATTTCTTGAAATGTGGTGCCCAGAACTGGACACAATATTCCAACTGAGGCCTAACCAGCACAGAGAAGAGCGGAAGGTGTGCTCGCAACACACCTGTTAATGCATCCTAGAATCATGTTTGCTTTTTTTTTTTCAACAGCGTCACGCTGAGGACTCATATTTAGCTTGTAGTTCACTATAACCCCTAGATCCCTTTCTGCCGTACTCCTTCCTAGACAGTCACTTCCCATTCTGTACGTACCAAACTGATTGTTCCTTCCTAAGTGGACTGCTTTGCATTTGTCCTTATTAAACTTCATCCTATTTACTTCAGACCATTTTTCTAGTTTGTCCAGATCATTTTGAATTATCACCCTATCATCCAAAGCACTTGAAACCTCCCCAGCTTGGTATCATCTGCAAACTTAATAAGTGTACTCTCTGTGCCGATATTTAAATAGTTGATAAAGATATTGAACAGAACTGGTCCCAAAACAGACCCCTGCGGAACCCCACTTGTTATACCTTTCTTTCCAGCAGGATTGTGAACCATTAGTAACTACTCTCTGAGTATGGTTATCCAGCCAGTTATCCACCCACCTTATAGTAGCCCCATCTAAGTTGTATTTGACTAGTTTATTGATAAGAATATCATGCAAGACTGTATCAAATGCCTTACTAAAGTCTAGGTATACCACGTCCACCACTTCTCCCTTATCCACAAGACTTGTTATCCTATCAAAGAAAGCTATCAGATTGGTTTGAAATGATTTGTTGTTTACAAATCCATGCTGGCTGTTACCTAACAGCTCATTATCTTCCAAGTGTTTGCAGGTGATTTCCTTAATTACTTGCTCCATTATCTTTCCTGGCACTGAAGTTAAACTAACTGGTCTGTAGTTTCCTGGGTTGTTTTTATTTCCCTTTTTATAGATGGGCACTATATTTGCCCTTTCCCAGTCTTCTGGAATCTCTCCTGTCTTCCATAACTTTTCAAAGGTGATAGCTAAAGGCTCAGATACCTGCTCTATCAGCTCCTTGAGTATTCTAGGATTCATTTCATCAGGACCTGGTGACTTGCAGACATCTAACTTTTCTAAGTGATTTTTAACTTGTTCTTTTTTTATTTTATCTTCCCATATACTTCCTTTATCTCATTTTCACACCCCACTGTCACCTTCATCCTGATCTCCTTGTAGGAATCTGCAACGATTATCCTTTATCAAAGCTTTGTTGCCTGATACAAAATAATTGTCCTATGTAAAGCCTTTCAGAATAGCAGTTGAAAGGAAAAAGGATGTTTTCTTTTTCTCTAGCTAATTGCATGCACCTTTACAAGTTTGCATTCTACTTTCTTGGGAGAATTTTTGTTTTGTTTTTATGAGAAACTTCCAAAAATGAACTTTAGTGTTCCCCCCTTAAGTGCCTTGTTTATCACCACTTCCTGTTACCTTTGAATGGGCACACTATATTTTCCCAGAATCATCAAGGTGTCTTGATTTCTGATATCCATTGTTGTTGGAAAAGATTGGTCAACTAGGAATGTCTTTGATTTAAATTGGATTTTGTGGAAAGAAAATTCCGCAGTCTTAATGAAATACACTGGAGGTCAAGAACAAAGGTTGTTAATCGGGATCTATGTTTTTATGTTGTGGAAGAGTCTGCTTTTCAGCATGGGGTTCATTAAAGCCTATGCCCTTCTAATGGAGGTGGAAAAAGCCTTCAGGAATTGAGTCATTTCTTGTGCCTCACAGTTCGCTGCATTTTAACAAAACCCATTCCCAAGGTATAGAAGTAAATTCTTTCTCAACCGTGCAAATACATAAATTCATTTTTAACCTGAAGCTAAGACTGTTACAGACAGATAACAGTAGAGAGAACATGATTGTTAGCTCTGAACATTTAAAACCGAGCATATACTTGAAAACATTGCTAATTTAATTCCGAAGCTGAAATATAAGCTGTTAAAGACATTCCCCAATTTAAAACTTTGCAGCATAAAAACACCTACTAATCAGTGTCAGTGCACTATATGAGCACCTGCTAAAATATATTTAAGAAATAACATGACAGTGCACGTGCAGTAGCAGTTTTCCTGAACGAAACCTGATGCCTTGATGGCATTAATTCTCATTGTGAGTTAGTTAAGTTAAAAAAGGCCAAGATCTTATGTTATAGACATGTTAAAAAGTCTCAGACTATTGAACCCTCTGGGGCATTTTCTGCTCTCAAAAGGGCAGACCTGAATCAATTCTAATTTTTTTTCTATATTAAACAAACTCGTGCCCTGCCACAATGGGCCTTTTTAGGTTGAGTTTCTACCCAGAGCAAACTTTTAAAGCCATCTTGTTATATCAACCTTTTGAAATGAAGATTTGAAACAACAGAGATGCCTATAACATCACTTCTATCTGTAGTGTTATAATGAGACCTTACTGCTATAATATCTGAGAGGAATTTTAAGAGTTGAAATGTTATTTTTGAAAGCTTCAGAGGGGTAGCCGAGTTAGTTTGTAACAGGAAAAGCTTAAACAACGAAAAGTCTAGTAGCACCTTAAAGACTAACAAAACATGTAGATGGTATCATGAGTTTTCGTGAGCAGATGACTGAAGAAGTGGGTTTTGCTCACCAATGCTCATGATGCCATCTACATGTTTTGTTACTTTTTTAGGTGCTACTAGACTTTTCATTGTTTGAGTTTTTCCTGTTACGGTCTAACAAAACTTGTAGATGGTATCGTGCGCGTTCGTGGGCAAAACCCACTTCTTCAGTGTTCTGCCCATGAAAACTCATGATACAATAAACTTCCAATAATCCGGCACCATGGGGTGCCGGATTATCAGATATTGCGGACTATCGGAAGGGGGGGCTATGAGGGGTCTGGGGTGGGGTGGGGAG